CGCCCCGCCGTAACCCACCCCCTTCAGCTGCCCGTGGCGGACTCCCTCACTGTGGTGGGTGCCACAGAAAAGGGAGCCCAGTGTCCAGTATATGCCCCAGCAGAATGCGCTCTGGGAAACAGAACTATAACTCACAAGCTGGTCTATCTCCCCGAGTGCCCAACGCCGCTGCTGGGACGGGACCTGCTTTGTCGCTTAGGTGCCACCCTGCATTTCACCCAGGATGAAATAACCCTTACCTTACCCCCCGAGAATGCCTGGATAATGACTCTGGCAGCTGAGCCCTCTGCCGTGCAAGCCCCTGAGTGGAGCCAGTGGGAGGATCAGGTGTACCCCCTAGTATGGTCATCAGGGGTCCCGGGAAAGGCCACACACCAAACCCCTGTCAGCGTTCAGCTCCTCCCAGGTAAAAGCCCGGTGCGGATCAAACAGGGGGAAGCCAGAGAAGGGTTGCAGGAGGCTATAGACCGGTTCTTAAGCTGCAGTACACTTCGGGAATGTCAGTCAGCCTGGAACACCCCCATCTTGCTTGTCCGGAAGCCGGATGGCACATATCGACTAGTCCAGGACTTAAGGGCGGTTAATGAACAGGTTAAGACGCTGCACCCCCTTGTCCCAAACCCGTACACACTGTTGGCCTCCATAGGAGGACAGTATACCCACTTTTCGGTTCTCGATTTGAAAGATGCTTTCTTCACGATTCCAGTTGATGCTCCATCTCAGGAGATTTTCGCTTTCGAGTGGGAAGACACAAAAAGGGTTAAGAAACAGCTTTGCTGGACAGTGTTGGCCCAGGGATTTAAAAATTCCCCCACCCTTTTTGGCCAGGCCCTGGCCAGAGACTTGGCCGAGTGGGACAATGTGGACAAGGTACTCCTTCTGAAATATGTAGATGACTTGTTAATTGCCACTGTGGGCCTAGCCCCCTGCCTTAAAGCCACCGTGAGCCTCCTGAACTTTATTGGACTCCGAGGATATCGGGTAGCGCGGAATAAGGTTCAAATCGCCCTTCCAGAAGTACGGTACCTGGGGTTCCACATACAGCAAGGGGAGCGCCAGCTTTCAAATGAAAGAAAAGAGGCCATCTGCCAAATTCCCACCCCATGCAGTCGCAAGCAGCTCAGGGCATTTCTGAGTATGGCAGGCTTTTGTAGAATATGGATCCCAGAGTTTGGACTGTGGGCTAAGCCATTGTATGAATGTGTTAAGGGAACAGATCAGGACCCTTTTCACTGGTCCACAGAAGCCGACTAAGCATTTAAAACTTTAAGAAGAAAACTGATGGAAGCCCCAACCCTGGGTCTGCCAGACCTCTCCAGGCCATTTCAACTGTATGTACATGAACGAAAAGGGGTGGCCTTGGGAGTGCTTACTCAGTTATTAGGCACCTGGAGACGTCCCGTGGCCTACTTTTCCAAACAACTCGATCAAGTAGCCAAGGGCTGGCCGGCATGTTTACGGGCGGTCGCAGCAACAGCCTTAGTACTTGAAGAAGCCGAGAAGCTGACGTTGGGGGCGGGGGAGGGGGGGTCATGCAAGTGTATACTCCCCATATGGTCCAAACCCTGCTGGACGCTAAGGGTGGTCTTTGGCTCACCCAGGCTCGGGTAGCTCGGTATCAGGCTAAGCTTTTAGAGAACCCCGAAGTGACCTTGCTAACCTGTCCCTCCCTTAACCCGGCCACTCTTTTACCAGAGACAGAGCAGCAGGAACACGACTGCTTGGAGAGAAGAGATGCCCAATACTCCAGCCGTCCGGACTTAAAGGATCAACCGCTCCCTAATGCGGATTGTGAGTGGTACACTGATGGTAGTAGTGTTGTGGTAGACAGGCAAAGGAGGGCGGGCTACGCTGTCGTGACCCTCCACGATACCGTGGAAGCTGAGGGTTTGCCTGCTGGGACATCTGCCCAGCTTGCTGAACTGGTAGCTCTGACCCGTGCGCTCGAACTGTCAGAGGGAAAACAGGTCAACATCTTTACCAACTCCAGATATGCTTTTGGAGTACTACATGCTCATGCTGGTCTGTGGAAACAGAGGGGCATGCTGACAGTCCAAGGCTGCCCGGTCAAGCATGGGGCCCACATTCTTCGGCTCCTGGAAGCAGTGCAACTCCCCTCGGCAGTGGCGGTGGTACACTGCAAGGCTCATCAGAGGGACGACCAAGACGTGGCAAAGGGAAATGCCCGGGCAGACGGTGGCCTGATGCTTTGCCCATTGTTTTGCTCCACATCTGCGCTCTCCCAAAGGGTAGATTAGGGCTTAGCCCCTTCGAAATTATGTTTGGAAGGGCATGGCCTATGAATAAGACACCGGCTCTGGCAGGGGAGTAGGAACTGAGATGCGGCTTTTTATCTCAGTATATGTGCTCTCTGTCTGCTGTTCTCTCTTCTCTTCACAGATACACCAAAGACACTCAGCCTCTTCCACTGGATGCCCCTGTCCACTGCTTGCAGCCGGGAGACTCCGTGCTCATTCGTACTTGGAAGGACGAGCCTCTCCGGGAGAAGTGGAAGGGACCCCACACCGTCCTGCTGGTTTCCCACACGGCAGCAAAGGTTGAGGGACACAAAAACTGGATTCATCACTCGCGTCTGAAAGTAGTGCCCACATCGCCGCCAGCAGAACAGTGGACCGTCCAGCCCACCAGAGCCTCATCCACTGATGCTCTGGGACTTAAGTTGTTGTTTAAAAAGCGCTGAGGGATTAGGGGTTCGGTTGGGAACATAGCTGCCCTATCCAGTAGACTCACCATGGGTTCTAATGCAGAGTTTGCCCTACTAATACTTTTGGCCACAGGTGCCAGTCTCTTGTTGTCTCCCGTGTCACCCTCCACGCATGCAGGATGGGGAAGGGCCTCTACAAACTTGGCTACTAACACATATGAAGCCCTAAAGGTTGCCTTCGCCCGCGAATTTAATCTCTCCAACTGCTAGGTGTGTTCTCAAATCCCTCATCATGCAGCAGGGTTACCTTAGAGAGCAGTTTCCCTCTCATGAATGACCCCAGTTCCTTAGCACTTAATCAGCTTTTGTCCTCAGAATATGAGAAGACTCAGACAAAAGTTTGTTGAGTATTCGCAAAGGAGGGAGCTGTTGGGGTCACTCGGCATGATCCTAGGTGCCCCTTCATCCCCCCCCAGGCATAACTTTTCCCTGGCTCGCTAATAGCTGGGAACGGCAAGACAGACCTTGAAGTTGCCTAGTTACTATCAGTGGTATAGAAGAAGAATTCAGATGTCTCTGTAGAGGGGAGGAGGAGGCAGCATGTCCCAGCGTGGGAAACTTGCTACAGTCCACTATTTTCCTTCAAGTAAACAACCTGGGTATATAAGGAGGGAAAACTGCTTCTGTTGGTGTGCTTGATCTGAGGTGTCTAGTCTCCTGGCACCTATTTGAGCATTCAAATAAACTTTTTTTGCTTCTCCACACCGGTGTGTTTATTGGAGCGCGCACACCGGGCACCGAACCCAGCTGTTGCCCCCCCTCGGGCACTGTGTGCCGGCAACAGTCAGGCATGTGCCTGCCCACAGCTAAAAGCCCCCTACCTCCCTCCAGCCTAAAGAAAGGAGCCACAGGATCCAGGCACCAAAAGATTTTTTCAGGGGGGAACAAAACAGGGATGAGAGGGGAGTGAAGTTAAGGTCAAAATCAGGAAACCAGAGAGAGAGATTGAGAGACACACACTCCCAACAGCACCTGCTGCTCCTCTGCATTAGGTAAACAAATTGTTGGCCCACTGAGATTACACCATGCCATTTGTCTGTACTTATCTGTTATTCTAGCTTTATACTTAAAAGTGTAAACGCTTTGGGACAGGGATTGTCTTTTTGCTCTGTGTTTGTACAGTGTGTTGCACACTGTTCCCTGTAAGCTGGGTGCTTGTGTGGCCGCTCACAAGAGATTCCAATGCTGCCTAAGTGATTAGCAGAGCACCCACAGATGGGTTCTTTGTTTCTACTGGTGGTGCACATACTTCAGTGCATATAACATTCATTCTGCACATGGATGGAAACAATCTGTGCACAGATAGAAAAGATTACAGGGAACATTGCTTGCACGGTGGGGTCCTGGTCTGTGACTGTGGCTCTCCTAAGTGCTATGATAATACAAAATAATAGTAAAAACGTGTAAGGAGTGGCATTGAAGTGAGTCAGAAAATGGTTGGAGAGACAACGGGGCTACGTAGCTGGTATTGTAGGCAGGCAACAGATTTAGGGCTGATTTATGTTCAAAACTTAGATTTCCGGGGGGAGTGGTGAAAACGCCACACTGCTAAGAAATGCAGCAGTGCCTACCACACCCCCAACGTAGACAACAACAGGCTGACGATTTTTCCATCGACCTCGCCACTACTCTTGCGGAGGTTGATTAACCACCAGGGAAGGCACTAGCCCTCCTGTGCCTCTAGTCCAGCAGTTCACGACCACCCGGCCGCGGCCTGCTGCCTGGCCACGAACCACTGGCCGCTGGGCCATGGTGGCTGTCCAAGCTCTAGCTGGTTGCTCCCAGCAGCTCACCTCCAGCAGCTGTGGCGGCTCAGGAGGAGGCTCCTCCCTCCCTCCTCCGTGCTTGGGGAGACGCGCTTGGAGTGGGAGGAGGCACGAAGGAGGGAGGCATTCCCACTGCCAACGGCCACTCCCTCTGCCCACATGGCCGCTTTTGCCACCGGCGGCAGGAGGCGGCTCCCCAGGCTTCAGCTGGTGGCAGCACTGGGGCTAAGGCAGCAGCAGGCGCTGGCAGGGCAGGCGGCACTTTCCTCCCTCCTCGCCCCCGTAAGGGCAGCTGGCTGGGACACCGCGCTGCTCCCGTCATGGGGGCACAGGATGCACTCGGGGAGGGCAGGAGCGTGAAGGAGGGCTGCTCTCCCTACCCACATGGCACTAATGGCCATGCTCCCTAGTGAGGGCAGCCTCTCTCTGGGGAGTGCAGGGTGAAGTGGAGGCAAAGGGTTCATGGGGCAAGAGGATGTTGGCATGAACTCTAGAGGTCAGAGGTTAAAGGACATGGGGCATAGGATTGGGGGCCAAAGGGTGTGACGCACTGGGGGGCAAGGGGCTGGGTTGGGGCTAGGTGGGCCATATCATTTTATTTGCATATTCATTATTTGCCAAGCATTTGTGAATGGGTTTGCCGGTCCTCAGCATAAAAAAGGCAGGGAACCACTGCTCTGGTCTACAGGTTGTCTATGTTGAAGTGCTACAGCTGCACAGCAACTCTGGCACTGTAGTCTTTTAAGATAGACAGTCCCTTAGACAAAAGAAGCTACCGTGCACGGAGAGTTTTAAAGATAAGGAGAAAGAGCTTGAACTTGCTGTAGCATAGAAGGAACAATGTAGCTGTGTTGTCCTGTTGTTTCTGCTCCAGTGAAGAGTTGATTTTCACATGTGGGGGAGGGAAACCAAGGGCCAAAACTACTTCTGAAAGACAGGATCTTCCTGTGCAAGACTTGATTAGCTGTTCTGAGAGGACCTGCAGGCTGGTCTCTATCCCATCCTTATTTTGCAAGGAGAATAAAAATAGGTTTTGTGGTGAAGCGGGCAGTCCAGACTATGCTTTGAAGAGGCAGCTGATGTGGAGAAGCGAGAAAAGACAAACCTAGGTAAAACATGGCAAGGTGCGTATCCTATTTCATCTCATTCAAAAAAGACACATTTTGCTATTCAAATAAAGAAACGATTGGTTTATTACATTGAGCACTGGCCGGCCGGCCAGCCATTTTTACTGTAAAGCCAGAGGGCATTTATGAGTCTGCTGTAGTGATAAGTCTAAGTGGTTTCTTCTTATTGAGCAGCAGACTAACATAGTGTGCGACAGTAACCCTAACAAACCTCCTCTCAGTATGGCACAGAAAGACAGTGGCTTGACCAGAGCCAGAGAGTCCAGTTTTGCTGTTGGCCAAGTCAATGGGAACAAAGCAAATGGCAGAGTTGGGTTTACAATACCATAGATCCTGCCTTCTATTTCCATTCTCAGCCCACACTGCTCCCTTCTGAAGACACTGCCTCACTCAGTCTATGACTTCACTACAAAATATGTTTTTTGCTTTGTTTTTAAACAGCACAACAAACAGCTAACTCATTAGCTAGCCCTGTCCTACTGTAAAAAGTATGGCTAAGACACTACTTTTGAGCAAGAGGTAGATAAGATTAGCACTGTACCTCTGCTGATGTGTGGCCTCCCCTTATTTAATTCACATTAAGGGTATGTCTACATGACAGCAATGTCGGCGTAATTCATATTGCTCAACCTGTGAATAAACCACCCCTGAATGACACTGACAGCGCTATGAACATGAACTTTTTTTATGCCAATAAGAGAGCTCTCTCCCATGAGCACAAAACATCTCCACCAGCCATTTTGCAGCAGCGTTATACACATAGACAAGAAGGCTACATCTACATTGGCCGCTTTTCCGGAAAAACTTGCCAGCTGTCTACACTGGCCGCTTGAATTTCCGCAAAAGCACTGACGATCTCATGTAAGATGGTCAGTGCTTTTGCGGAAATACGATGCTGCTCCCGTTCGGGCAAAAGTCTTTTTCCGAAAAACTTTTGCGCAAAAGGGCCAGTGTAGACAGCAGAGATTTGTTTTCCGCAAAAAAGCCCCGATTGCGAAAATGGTGATCGGGGCTTTTTTGCGGAAAAGTGCGTCTAGATTGGCCACGGACACTTTTCCGCAAAAAGTGCTTTTGCGGAAAAGCGCCCTGCCAATCTAGACATGCTTTTCCGAAAATGCTTTTAACGGAAAACTTTTCTGTTAAAAGCATTTCCGGAAAATCATGCCAGTGTAGACGTAGCCGAAATGTACAGCAGGACAGGGAAAGCTAAGTTTTTCTGCTGTAACACAAAGCTTTTGCAGTGAAGATATAACCTCAGACCAAAGAGAACATGAATTAGGTTTCAGAACAGAGTGACTTCTTGCAGTCAGCTAGCCACAGAAAAGGTGTTAGATGCAAGGCCATGTCTGTGGACCAGAGTTGTGCAGCTTTAACTATATTGTGTAGCTAAAGGGGCTTAACTGAGGGTGCAGTTACTGTACAGGAAGCGGAATAAACTATTCCAGCACAAAGCACCTTTTAAACCATTATAACTGCAGCCACAAAAGAGGATGTACCAATATACCTCTAAGTCACATCCTTAACCAACAGTTATATTAATACAAAATGTCTGTGTGTGGACTAGCCATGAGGCAGGTAGAGTTTCTAATTTGCCACTTGTAAATTACATGCTGCTCCTATCTTTTGATCTATATGCACAAATAGTCAAAGTGACATGGAATGTTAATAGTTTGCTTCTAACAAAGGCCGTGTTTCGATTTAGACATGCCTTGCATTTTAAACAAATGATTTTCTTTGTGCTGGAAAACAGAGCATAAGCTTGTAGATTGTACGTCTCCCACACAAACAGTGTTAATGTTTTCCCCATAAAGAGTCTTGTATATTCTGTGCCTCAGCTCACTTCAGTTGGTCAGTAAGTTCAATAGCAGAGAGGAGAAGCCTTAAGGCCTAGCGGTGTTCATTTGCAGACAAATCAAGTTACAGTAGCATTAAGGCATTTGGTTTACAGTAGCATTTGGTTTAAGCTCAGAATCAAGATGGTTGTTAGCTATCCCTTCGCTTTATGCAGCAAGATACCTTTCTCTCGTTCAGATAACTCAACTGTAGAATGGAACTGGAAATTATAGAAAATGTCTAGTGCTCCTGTTTCCCAAACATGGCTTCAAGAAGTCTTTCCAAAGCCTGCAAGCAGAAGTAATTCAGCCAGGCAATTCTGCATTGGATGCTGGTTCAAGGCATGACTGGCTCTGGTAACACAATTAGTGCACCATTGCATAATTTAAGCAATAGAAGCATATAAGAGTCAATTGGCACTGACTAGCCCAAGTTAATTCTAATAGCGCTACCTAAAGCTATTGGGGAAAAAAATCTGTTTCTCCTCTAATCTGTATCTCTTCTCCCCATGACAATCAGCTTTGCATGGTTTAGTCTTCACCACCACACAGCAAGAGTAGAACTTTCCTATAGTCTCCAGAAGTGTCTCCCTGCAAGAAAAGAAACAAAACAAACAAAAGAGATGATTAGATGTGCAACAAGTGTGTAAGAAAAGGTTGCAGTATCATTTACACCAGTTTGAGATGGTTGTAGGAGCTGTCTCCATGTGATTTTGTATTTCTTTGCTGATGTAAGATTCAATAACATTTAAGATGCACCTTTCATCTTGCAGTACGTGACACACATTGATCGTGTATAAGTGCACATTGCCCACTACTAAAATGTAGTGATGTGGATTGCAGGAGCTATTACCGTGCACAACACTGCCCCATAGCCATTTTAAGACAAAGCTAATACTCTAGCCAATGGAAAATTCAAAGTTGATTATTAACAAAAGCAAACAATAAGGATGAATTGAAAAGTCACTACAGTATTAAAATATGAAATCCAAATATTGGAGTTCTTTTAGATTAAAAAATACTGTCCATTAACCCTTTGTGGAATCCAAGCCGATGTTTCTAAGGGTATGTCTGCACTACAACACTATTTGAAATAACTAGCGCTATTCCAAAATAACTTAGTCCATGTCTACACAGCAGGCAGTTATTTCGAAATAGTGTCAAAATACTGTCAGGCTGAAGGACTTCCTACTCTGACTCCTGTAAGCCTCAATGTACGAGGAATAAGGGAAGTCGGAGGAAGAGTGCTGTTTCAAAGTAAATTCTGTGTAGATGCTCCTATTTCGAAATAAGCTATGCAATTGATATAGCTCAATTTGCGTAGCTTATTTTGAGTTAAGCCCTGCAGTGCAGACGCACCCTAAGACTCCCAGTTTATAAGTATAGACAATTGACAAAAAGTGTCCTCTGACCAGAAAACATTCATCTGAATTTCAGGTCCACGTTGCAGAAGGTGAAAGCAAAAATCTTGCTTAGGCTACGTCTACACTACATCTCTCTTGCGCAAAAGCCTATGCAAATGAAGCACAGATTAGCATATTGCCCTCATTTCATTTGTGTAATTAATTAGCAGCTGCTTTTTGCGAAAAAGCTTGTTGCGCAAAAGTGGCTGCTAGTTAATTATGCAAATGAAACACAGAAATATGCTAATCCACACTTCATTTACATAGGCTTTTGTGCAAGAGAGGTGCAGGATAGATGTAGTTTCAGAGAGCCAGTAAACAGCCAATACAAAGGGCCTGGATAGTGTTATCTGAGTATTCATAGTAAGACTAGTTAGTCTGTGTGATGGTGCATCGGGGTTCCCCCCCCCACCCCGAGCCTGCATCCCTGTAGCAGCCAGAACAGACTCCGCCAGCCAGTAGAACAGGGGGGTTTATTGCTTCTCCAGGATACAGCACAGCATAGACGTGATGCAGTTACAGGAGTCAGGACCAGGATGCCTCAGACCCCTTGGTTAGGGGGTCCATTGCCCCCTAAACTCTCAGCATTCAGCTTAGTCTCTTCCCTTCATATTTCCCCGCCAGCAACTGGCTCGCTCCCAGACCCTGCCCCCCAGCCAGGAGTTCGTCTCCGCCTCCCTTCCTTTGTCTCTCCCTCTGGAAGAAACAAAGGGCAGGACAATGTAGCACTTTAAAGACTAACAAGATGGTTTATTAGGTGATGAGCTTTCGTGGGCCAGACCCACTTCCTCAGATCAAATAGTGGAAGAAGACTTATTATCGGCACAGGCTGGGACTCAGTGTCTGGGCCAATACACATGTGGGTGAGTCACTGGGAATCACACATCACAGCACAGGGGAACCCCGGGTTACAGAGCAGACAGCACCCCCGCTACGTCACAGTCTGGAATGACTGAAAAACTGTTAAACCACCCTAACACCAACATTTCTAAGAGCAATGCAACTCAGGATTAGAGCTGAGTCAAAATTTAAAATAGTGTTCAGGATTTCTTTTCTGATTTTTCACTTCTTGCATATTTCCCTCCCCCTTGCTTTCCCCTTGTCATTTTCAAAAAGATGATGATTTCCAACAAACAAAAATATATATCAAGAGCGGACAATTTCTCACGCAATTTTTTTTCCCCATAAAAAGATGTTTGATGAAAAATAGCTTCTGGTTTGAAAACTATCAACCAGACACCAGACACAACAGATGAGAAAAGTGGCTATAGTTTTTAGCTAAGGAAAACTTACCTTGATGAAGGAGTAGAGAGATTTCCCATACATTCTCTTGAATTCATGCCTAATATCCAACATATCAACTTCACAGCGTGACACCATCACTCGAATGAGCGTATCATCATCCGTCCCTAAACCCTTAAGAGAAAAGCAATCTTTGTACAAATATTGTGCATTATGGGTAAATCACTATTACAGGTCCTGGTTTCATCCCTAGTTTCTGGGTAGGAAATTAGTCCAAAGCATTTTGCATTGAATGTCACAGAGCTCCCTATTTCCAGCAAATAATTGGACAACACCAGTTTTGTCCATTAACAGAGGAGGAGAGAAGATCCATAAAAATCACTAGGGCCATGTCTACACTGGCACGATCTTGCGCCAGAGCTATGCAAATGAGGCTAAGTGTGGAATATCGCCGAGCCTCATTTGCATATATAATGAGCCGCCATTTTGCGGAAGAGGCTCTTGCACAAGAAGGCGCTGTCTACACGGCCCCTTCTTGCGCAAGAAAAACCCTCTTGTGCAATGTTGTTATGCTGAAGATTTTCAGGAATAACAGCATTGTGCAAGAAGGTTTTTCTTGCGCAAAAAGGGGCAGTGTAGACAGCGCCTTCTTGCGCAAGAACCTCTTCCGTAAAAATGGTGGATGATTAGATATGCAAATGAGGCTCGGTGATATTCCACGTTTAGCCTCATTTGCATAGCTCTGGCGCAAGATCGCACCAGTGTAGACATAGCCCAAGGATACTGCCAATATTCCCTTTAATCTTTGTCATCCATATAAGAAATAAATGTTTTTATGTGCATCTAGCTGTGGAAGCTCTGCTGGGCGGCATTTGAATTTCTCTTGACCAGCCACACAAGCGCCCAGCTTACTGGTTACTGCCCCCTCTACTTTCCCCTGCAGTATTAAATCCAGCTGTTATTTATTTTAGCATGCCTCTAGATTTAATTGGGAGGGAGGGAGGGAGAGGGCACACACACACAAAAGTGACTTACCTTCATGGAATAGTATAATCTTTCAGCAAAGTATGCATGCTTATTCCTTATGCATTTTACTGTGGAGAGAAAAGAACAAGAGAGATTTTCCAAACGGTTACATTTCAAGGCTGCAATTACTGCTTACAGCTCCTGTCAGATATCTCTGGGAGATGCAGATGTCTGTCTGCAGACCCAGTTATAGTATAGGAGCCAAAATGTTCACATCCCTGACTATTAGCCCACGCAGCTCCAAGGTATAGACTGTGTCTACTACACTACACAACTTCTAACAATAAGGTTATCTCAACACAGCCCTGTGTCTAACAGGCAGGCCTTGTAGCTGCTGTCTGTCCACACTTTTGCTGACAAAATACTTCTACTCCCCCATGAGTAGCGTTTGCTGGCAGGAGAGCAACCCCTTTTGGTTTTGGTGGGGGAGCATTTCTGACAACAAAAGTTTTGTCACAATTGCCAGTGTAGATGTTGGCTTGGTTAGAGGCCCTTGGACACGCTGATAAATACAGCAAGTGCAATGCAAAAGAAAGAGCCACTTCAAATTAACCTGAAGTCTTGTCCATTGCTGTACAGGGAATTCGTTAAAGTGAGGTAAGTTTCAGCACCATTAGCAATGTGACAGCAGAAGCAAAGGAACTTTTGCCATATTGTTCATGGCCACTTGCTGTAATTGCTAGGAATAACAAAGCATGACCTGTACCCAGCACAGACACAGTTACTGGCCACCTTGGCACGTAGCTCTTATAAGAGAGTGGGCAAGAGACAGCACTCCTAAAGAAGAATATACCATAGGCCATGCCTAACAAAACACCTTTGTCTCCTGCAATGGAGAAAGTGGTTTTCATTGGAGGGGGACACACTTGGGCTATGTCTACACTGCACCTCTCTAGCACAAAAGCCTATGCAAATGAAGCACAGATTAGCATATTGCCATGCCTCATTTGCAGGGCTCGCCGAGCTGTGGCGAGTCCTGCTCACCAGCCGCACTGTCCGGCGATCTGCGCATGCTCAGACTGCCCGAACCCCGTTCTTCCGGGTTGTCGAGCCCTGATTGTCGAGGGCTGCTCATTTGCATAATTAATTAGGGGCTGTTTTTGTGCAAGAGGCTTTTGCGCAAAAAAGAGCTGGGTAGACGTCTCCTTTTTGTGCAAAACCTCCTTCATGGCAAGAGCCGTTCTGCTTGAAAAAATAAGGAAGAATGGCTTGTGGCAAGAGAGGATTTTTGCACAAAAAGGAGCTGTCTACACCGCTCCTTTTTGCGCAAAAGCCTCTTGTGCAAAAACGGTCCCTAATTAATTCCGCAAATGAAGCACAGCAATATGCTAATCCGCATTTCATTTGCATAGGCTTTTGCGCAAGAGAGGTGCAGTGTAGACGGAGCCGTGGTTGCTTTGAGAAGCAAAGCAGATCGCACACACCAGAGGTTCCTTGCATTATCCCTCTCCCCGTTACTGTGGTCTTTGTCTATGCCCCCCCCCATCCCTTTCTATTTCAAGGGCTACCTATGGATTTTATGTTAACCAAGATCCGACTCTGCAGCTTCCATGCTCACAGTTGACAGAAACAATTCTTTCCCAGTCTGCACCCAGATAGTCTGTCGAGAGACTAAACGGCCCTAAATGTAAAACTACAATACTCACCCACAGCTAATAAGGCATCTTCCAGGTCCCCTGACATCTCAGATTTAATGCTTTCTGTAATGTCCTTCTTAGCAATCCTTTTGTATTCATCGAAGACTGGAAAAGAAAGCACACTAGTGACAAGTCAGCAGTAAGATTCATCAGTGCGGTCTACAAAGAATTAACCAGTTTGTCACGTTTAGCCACCAAGGACTTTATAATTGGTTTTCTAATTGGTCTGTCAGTAGTTGCTGGTAATAGTGTCATGAATTACTGCTTAATGGTGTGAAGTTGTTTAGCGTACCCACTTGGCGAGGTTTGCCATAAGTATTGGCAACCAGCCAGCTCTGCAAGAGCCAGTAGCAAGATCTGTTGTTTGAGAACTTCTCATCCAGCAGAACGGTGCCTGTATTGCTTGCTTTCTTGCTTTCTTTCTTTCTTTCTTTCTTTCCTGCAGGGGGAGTGTTGGCAAGAAACTTGCTCCTAAACCAGGGTGGGCAGTAATTTTTAATGGGGGCCATTCCAAGTTTTTGGTAAGTGGTCAAGGGCCGCACTTCTGTGGAGGGTATGTGGGGTCTGGGGCTGAGGGTGGGGTGTTGAAGGGAGCTTTGGATAGAGGATTGGGGTGCAGGAGGGAGTGTGGGGTCTGAGAGGGAGTTTGGTGAAGGAGGGGATTATAATCTGGGGCATGCACTTGAGGTGCAGGGTCCAGGAGAGGTATGGGTGCAGGAGAGGATTCTGGCCTGGGGGAAAGGTGCAGGAGGGGGTGCAGGTTCTGGGAGGGAGTTGAGACCTGGAGAAGGGAGGAGAGGGGATATAGAGGGTTTGGGTGGTGGCCTGGCGCAGGCAGCTAGGGGTGAGATGGGGTGGGATGACAGAGGCAGGCTTTGGCTGGGAGGCGCTTACCGAGGTGGCTCCCAGCCAGCAGCTCTGCAGATTCCCTGCCTGTGTGCTGGATGGGCTGTTCCATGTGGCTCTGCTCCAGCAGTGGGAGGGAGTGAGGAGACTTCATTCGCTGTCCCTGCCTTCAGCAAAATTTCTCAGCTCCTATTGGCTGGAAACTAGCCAATAGGAGCTGAGGGATTTTGCTAGGGGGTGGAGACAGTGCGCAAAGCTTTATTCTCCCTGCCCAGATTGATTGATTGGTAACTGGTTAAAAGACAGGAAACAAAGGGTACGAATAAATGGTCAGTTTTCAGAATGGAGAGAGGTAACTAGTGTCTGTACTGGGACCAGTCCTATTCAACCGATTTATAAATGATCTGGAGAAAGGGGTAAACAGTGAAGTGGCAAAAATTGTAGTTGATACCAAACTGCTCAGTATAGTTAAGATCAAAGCAGACTGTGAAGAGCTTCAAAAAGATCTCACCAAACTAAGTGAATGGGCAAAAAAAAAAATGGCAAATGAAATTTAATGTGGATAAATGTAAAGTAATGCACATTGGAAAAAATAATCCCAGCTATACATACAACATGATGGGGACTAATTTAGCTATAATTACCCAAGAGAGAGATCGTGGAGTCATAGTGGACAGTTATCTGAAAACATCTACTCTGTGTGCAGCAGCAGTCAAAAAAGCAAACAGAAAGTTAGGAATACTTGAAAAAGGGATAGAGACTAAGAAAGAAAATATCTTATTGCCTCTATAAAACCCTGGCATGCCCACATCTGGAATACTGCGTCCAGACGCGGTTGCCTCGACTCAAAAAAGACATACTGGCATTGGGAAAGGTTCAGAAAAGGGCAACAAAAACGATTACTCCGTTTAAAAGGCAAAGATGTGGCGCAGGACCTGGCACAAGCCGGTCCTGGACCTACTTCTCCTGAGGCTCTTCAGTTTAAATGTCGTAGGAGCTGGGTTGCCTGCATGCCCAGCTCCTACTACATTTAAACTGCAGAGCTGCAGTGGCCCCTTATCGACTAATCGTGTACTCAATACAATTTGTATCGAGTACATGATTAGTCATTTACTCGATACTTAATATCCTTAGTCCATCCTTGTCTCTCTAGAGTTCCTTTTAGATGAGAGGTGGGAAACCTAAGACCTAGAGGCCACATCTTGCCTGGAGTCAAGGCTCTCCACCCAGAATTGGGGAGCTCATGCTAGTGCTTCAGCCTTCCCCCAGCCCCCACAGGACTGGAGCTCACAATATCTACTAGCCTGGGCTCCCCTATGCACTGGTGTGCTAGAGAAATGTGGGGAGTGTCTTTCTGCTTCTCAGTTGGGGGCTCATGTCAGGGAGGGTTTGGGGGCTTTTTTGCTTCTCGCTTCTGTGTGGCCCCGGCAGATTTTTCTGTGGGTTAGCGACCCCTGACCCCAAACAAGTTCCTCACTCCTGTTTCAGGCTCACAAAAGTGGGTTTCTGTATTAAAATCCTCTAAGGTAGATACACAAGACCAGATACCAGGGTAAGCGTCTGCCTTTGGGAACTGTCCATATCAATCTGCTGAGAGATGTTTGCACACCCAGAAAAGGTGCCTTTAAAAAACAACAACAAAGAATCCAAACCTGCTGAGAACCTTACCCTGTAATAGATGATTTCTATTTCTTGAACAGAGGATGGTCATAAATTGTCCTTCATTCGTCCCCCACTTCTTTTCCCCAGATTCATACAAGCACTAGAAAGAATAAAGCCCACGAGAGAAAGATTAGACCAAAAGCTCACATAAAGGCACAGAGCGCAAGAGACGTACTTCTGCATTTTTTTCAGGAAGAATAGCTCTTGCGCAAGTGGGGGCTTTTGTGCAAAAGGAGCCGTGTAGATGGCTCCTTTTTGCACAGAAGTCTCTTGTGCAAAAAGTGGCCGCTCATTAATTATGCAAATGAGGCACGGCAATATTCCGCTTTGCCTCATTTGCATATTTCTCGCGCAAAACAGCTCAGTAAAGGCATAGCCCCTATGTTCTGGCTCATCTTGGTTCAGCCTCTCAATATTTGCTGAACTATGTCAATTTTGAGGACTGTCACTCTGCAAATCAATTCCATACCAGGCACATCCCATTTTCCTAGCACAACCAAACCCGAACGTTGCTTTCAGTTATGGGAAGAGGAAGCTGTATACTGAAGTTGATGGTCCTAGCTCTTACTATTTAGGAGGAGTTCATGATCAAACAGACAAACTCTAAAATATATAGCAGATGATGCCTAGCTCTTCTACAGACTTTCCATCAGCATATCTCAAAGTGCCTTCCAGAAGGATGAGTATCCTTACCCATTTTACACATGGGAAAATTGAGGTGCGGTGACTTGTCCAATGTCAACTAGCAACAGATCCAGGACTAGAACCCAGACCTTCCGGATCTCAGCCTAGTGCGTGACACACATGCCAGCTAAATGGCTGATAGGTTAAGACTGGTCTTTAAAAGCCAATGGATGGAAGGAGTCGGTGTTCAGCAAACATCCACAGTGGTGGGGCAGATTTTTCTTACAGAGTACAAAGAGTTACAGACCTGGGCATCCTGCTGAGCAAGGCCTGCATCCACGTAGTGGCTCTCGTCCCTGTTTCCCTGCAGAAACACAAGAGGGCCGTGTTAGATTCAGCCTTTCACAAGGGCTCATAGAGCAGAGTCTAGCAAGCTTCCTGTCTGAAGCCAGTTCCCAGGCATATAATGAGGACCTATACGGAAGACAGCTGCAGTTGTCCAATGGCTTGTTGCAAGGGGGTGGTGGAGAAAACTCTGTGAAATATTTAAGGGCCTGATTTTATTTATTGTAAGTGGGGTTCAGGACTCATTCCGTCGGATGCTAGTTGGAGCCCAGTGCCCTGAGAACGTACGTGGCTGTAACACACATGGACCCAGATTCCTGCTTCTCCCCCTGAGCAGTCCTGGAGGGGAGCAGCAGGGGAAGGCTGTGGAGTAGGAGAGGGAGCAGGCTGCCTAGGAAAGGGATAAAAAGTTCCAAGTGGCAAAGCAGAAAGCAGGTGAAGGAACCAGACGAGAGGGGGGAACAGTATTTACTACAAACCCGTCTGATCTCTTTTATGCTGGTGTAACTCCATTGACTCCTGACCTACGTCAGCGTATTACAAGAGGAGAAGCAGACACCTTATCAGTGAAGCAAGGTTCATGTTTAGGACTCGTCTACATGCAAAATGCTGCAGCACTTTAGTGAAGATGCTACTGCACCAGTTAGTCCACCGCTGCAAGATGCAGAGGCTACGTCAATGGGAGAAGCTCCGCCCCCATCCACATAGCGCTGTCTGCACTAGGGTTAGGTGGGTATAACTGGGTGTGATTTTTCACACTCCCTAAGCAATGTAGTTATACTGCTGTCCATTTGTAGCATGGAGTGGGGAACTTCTTTTGGGTAGGGAGCCGCTGACCCACAGAAAAATCAGTCAGGGGCCACACACAAGTGAAAAGCAAAAAAACTCCAAACATACCCTCATTGACATGGCCCCCGACTGAGGAGACACTCCCCACATTTTTCTCACATACCAGAGCCTCGGGGGCCCCAGGCTAGTAGATTCTGTGTGTTCCAGCTCCACGGTGGGGCAGCCAGAGGGCTGGAGTACCAGCCTCCCCTTTGCGGGGGGAGGGAGGAGCCCTGAACCTTAGGCTGATTCTGGCCCCCGGGCCTTAGGTTCCCCCCATAGAGGATTTGTTCAGCAGCAATAAGAAACAGACTGTTTGTCTGAAAATGGACTTACTGTCGCTAGAGACACCAGCACGCGCCGGAACACGGAAGATGTGTCTGACACAATGTCTTTTTCAAGGGTGGTGCCATATTCTAGCAAAAGAGCACAACACACGTGTATGCTTGCATTTAACAAAGAGAACGTTCCGCACCTAAACAATGTTCATCTTCAAAAAAGTCTACATGTCCAGCCCTGACCTGGGTATCCAGATTATGCATCTTCCCCCGACTTTCTGAACATGCCTTCCTAAGAATGGTCATGTTGAACCTGGATCTTAGTCTTCTCTCCCTTTGCACCAGTGTAACTGACTGCAGTGGAGCTGTTCTGGATTTAGGCAGTGCGTGCGGGTTTCTCAATCAACAGAGCTACAGAGTTGTAAGGCTGGAAACAATCGGGATCATTCTCTTTCAAATATTCAAATGTTCTACACACAAAGTTGCACTGGCTTTGTTCATCTAGTGCAAACCTCTCTCTGGAGATACAGCAACCCTGGCTTAGAGCTGGCTAGCTAGTGAGGCAGAGTGACCTCCTTCCCATTCGGAAATGGAGGGCCTGCTGCAAGCTACCATCTGCAAATAAACAGACACAAGCCGAAAAAGGAGATAAACCAGGGAATTGAACCAGTTAAACTGTTTTTAAAACCAGTTTTAGTTTAACAATTACTTGTATTGTTGTAGCACCTACAGGCCCTAGTACAGGATCCTAGTACAGCTTCTGAATCAAACTCTGGCTCTTCTGACGTCGGGGGGAGTTTAGCCATTGACTTCAGACTGACCAGGATTTTGCCCTCTCTGTGGCTTGACATGGCTTAAGTCTCTGTCCACTGAGCATAATTATGACGGCACACTAGGTCACAATCAAGTGCAAGGCATTCTGAAAGCAGGTATCTCAGCACCATTCTCTTGCTGGGACAACGACACTTCCTAGTTTCACAAGATTTCTTGCAGACTGTTGAGTTGTCCATTGATTGAAACACTAGCCACTAAGGTTGCTTGAAAATCGTTTCAATTTGCATGCGCACGTGTGCACAATTCCTGGAAGGCAGGGAACTTTCACAAATATCTTCTACCTCGACATCAACGTAAGTAGTGCACGCAGTATTCAACCAGTAACAATACAAACTGGGGAAAACACATTTGCTGGCTGGGAAATGTAAATGTTTAAGTCAGGGGCCAGCTCAAGAGGAGATGGGAATGTCTCAGCTTTCCTCTGCAAATAAGTCACTCGGCAGCCTTAGGGAAGGGTGAGTTAAACCTTGGTTAAGGAAAGGACCCTAAACACATATTTTGCTTTAAGCATGTTGTCACAGTTCAGGGCAACTGCATCTGTTCCCCCTTCGTGTCCACTAAAGATCCCAACTCTAGGCTTCTTGTCCCCCAGCCATCCCATCTCAAGTGGCAAGAGGCAAGTCTCTCTCCCATCTGATGGGGATTTTTCCAGCCTGCCCATCTCCCTGCCTGCACTGCAAGTTTCCCAGCAAGCCAGACCCCTTGGGCAGGCCTGCATCGGCACTTTGCTTTCTCTTCCAAGGCTATGAACTGTAGTCATCGCTCACAGTTATAAGTTATCACACTGCTTTTCCTAAGCAAGCACATTTATTCTCAAGGTAACAGCATTAAAAACAGTAGGAGTTCCTCTAGAAATGCTAAAAATCTTACCAGTTCACCTATCAGTCTTATGGGGTTCAATGGGTCAAATGCCTTCCAACCCTTCCTAGGAAAGACTGGGGCTCACATCAGACAGAGACCTGTCCATTTGCTGGATCAGAAACAAGGTGGTGAGTGAGTTTAATTAAACTTAGGCTATTTATCCTAATCTTTTCCATCCATATGCAGATTTTTTTCATCCATGTGTGGAATTATTTTTTACATGCACCAACGTACGTGTGAAAGTGCACCACCTACAGAAACAAAAACCTAGCTGCGGGCGCTCTACTAAGCAGCAGGGTGGCATTTGAATCTCTCCTGGGTGGCCACACAAGCGCCCAGCCTACAGGGAACACTGGTGGTAGTAACTCTCTGAAGTTGTTACAACCCAAGTGAATTTGCCTAAACATTGTTAGTTTCCAGAGGGTTGCAATCATCCTCTCACATGGAATTCCACAGAATCCAAGGCCCACAGTGAAACAAAACTAATACAGTGAGATCTCCCAAAGACACTACAGAACACTGCCATGTCACTTAAGTTCCCCTGATTAGACACATGCCAATGTACTTTCCTGAACCTGGGATCTCTTGCAAGATTCCCCCATGCTCCCCCAGGACAGGTTATTCTCAATGCTCTAACATTATAGCACCTCATAATTTACGCTACGTACGACGTTTGTAGGTCTCGTTAATGCGCTGGATTTCTTCACCAGAACGAGAAGCCAGAATTTCGATCAGGCAGCCCTCATCTGTCCCCGCGCCCTAAATGCAGAACAAACATTCAATATGAAAGCTGCTTCCAGTCTACCACCCAACAGAGCATCATGGTGGCAACATAAAGACTCAACTCTCTCCCTAGTCCAGGATCTGATGAGGACTCCCCGGCTATCTAGGTATGCTACTTAATTTCTCTGCCTGTTTCACCACATGTTAAATGGGGTAAGTTATGGACTTTGTGCAAGGAGGTGATGGTTGGTTGCAGAGCTGGATGTCATCTTTGAAGTGCATGGCCCAGGTTCAAAGTCCCTATATATGTCATTCAGACCATAAACATCCACCTGGGTCTTCCATGTCTCAGGTTATTGATTTCTTTTCTCACCAGAAATTCCATTCTGAACTCGAGAAACCTTTGCTATCTAAGAGGCCCGTTCCCCACAAAAATATTTGTCTGCATTTTCCAACAAAAAAAAGTGTTGTGAAAGAACTCCTGAGCAGCTTCAGATGTTTGTACAGTGTTTGGAAGCTGCAGAGTTCTGCAAAAATACTATGTTATTGAAAGCCAAAAGTATAACTGGGTTCAAAAAAGAACTAAATAAGTTCCTGAAAAGTAGATCCATCAATGGCCATTAGCCAGGACGGTCAGGGAGCATCTTCTTGGAGCATCGCTGAACGTCTGACTGCCAAAAGCTGGGACTGGATGACAAGAGGGAACACTTGGGGTTGTCTTGTTCTTTTCATTCCTTCTGAAGCCTCTTGCCTCAGCTGCTATCACTGCACAGGTTACTGGGCTACATAGACCACCGGTCTGATTCAGTGTGGCCATTCTTAGGTCCTTATCAGTGCACACAGAGTGCAACTCTTTCAGTGTCAAGTCCTGTTTTGCAAAAGGGTAGCAGGGTAGCTCTTCTCTGGAGAAGGTTCAGAGAGCAACAAAAAGGTCTAGAAAACATGAGTTATGAGGGAAGACGGAAAGAACTGGGCTTGTTCAGTCTGGAAAGGGGAAGACAGAGGGGACATAACAGCTTTCAAGAATCTCAAAGGTTGTGTAGCAGACCAAAGGCAGTGGGTTGCAGGAGTCTGGTGGAGGGCAGGTACAGCAGGGGCTGGGTGAGTGGGTTCCTGTTTCCTGAACAGGCTGCCAGAGACTGCTGCTCAGCCATCAAGACAGCTGGAACTCATTAAGAGCTGGCCTACAGTGCAGCCTAATACAACACCCAGAGTAAGTGGGTGGGACAGGGTTCCCCCATCCCTCACCCTGGCCAGTGGGCTGCCAACAGGGGGAAAAAACCTTTGGACCAGGAAGGGGTTTTTTCCTGCAAGCTAGTGACTGGCCTATGATGAAACTGGCTCACAAAGCAGGGTGAGAAACTAGAGATAGTGGCAGGGTCCCCGTGTAACCTGAGGCATACAAAAAACCACCAGGAAGTGCAGGACCCACGGGGCACAACCCGAGCTCCGCCACAGTTACAAGAAGGAGGGAGAAAACATACTCCTCCATCTCTGGTGACAGGACAAGGAGCAAGGGGCTTAAATTGAAGCAAGGGAGGTTTAGGTTGGACATTAGGAAAAACTTCCTGCCTGTCAGGGTGGTTAAACACTGGAATAAATTGTCTAAGGAGGTTGTGGGATTTCTGTCACTGGAGATATTTAAGAGCAAGTTGGACAAACACCTGTCAGGGATGATGGTGGTTGGTCTTCTTGTGCATGCAGAAGACTGGATTTGATGACCTCACGAGGTCCCTTCCAGTTCCTGTATTCTATGGTTATGGCTGTTAGAGTGAAATTGATTCGTATTCCAGCTTTTCACAATCTAGCAGTCTCACACATCACCGTGCTTATTTTCTTATTGCGCCGTAAAACACAATGGAAGAACATAGGCGTTTTGGGAACATCAGTAAAGATTTACCAACCTTCATGGCCCTCTTCAGTTCCTGCACGTCGTACAGCGTGATGGGAGTCATCAATCCGATAATCACCTTCTCAAAGCTCCCACTCAGCTCAGACTTCAAATCACCAATCAAATCCTAGAAAGCCAGGAAGGTGGAAAATAGCCATAAGAACCAAAAGCCCCACTCCTCTACGCAGGTGCTGGAATGAGGGGTGCTGAGCATCCGGCCACACCAGTGGCAGTGGTTCTCAGAGCAGTCCACGGCCTCCTAGCCATCCGCATCTGTCCGCGGCTCAAGCTCAGCTCCCCCGAACCTGCGCTGCCTCTCCAGTCTAGTGGTCGCTGTGAGGCCAGAGCACTAGCTCCAGCTTCCTGCTGCTTGTAGGGCATGGGGGGGCCCCAACCTTCCCCGCCAGATCCGGCTCGCGGAGAGAAACAGCTCCACGCACTGCCGCTCCTCCCCCCTCCCTCCCCACTGGGGGAACGGCAGCGCAGTGACATGTCTGGAGGCTTTCCCCGCTGCGCCCACGGGCCGGCCGACGGAAGCAGCGGGAGGCGGTGCTTGGGAGCAACAGGGGCACAAAGCCAGGTAAGTGCCTCCCCCCATGTCCAGACCCCCACACCCATTCCCCCTGCCAAGACCCCGCACCCTTAGCTTGCTCCTGCTTCTGCTCCCTCCCGGCCAGATACCCTATCCCCACCCTACTCCTGCACCCTCTCTTGCTCCTGCACCCGGGTCAGACACCATACCTCCAGCCTGCTCCTGCACCCTTCCCCCTGTCCAGACACCCTATCCCCACCCTGCTCCAGGATCCATTGTTGCTTCTGCATCCTCCCTCCTAGCCACACACTGCACTCCCCTTGCTCTTGCTCCCTCCCTCCTGCCTGGCCAGACACCCTACTCCCAGTCTGCTTCTGCACCTACCTCCCACCCAGACCCTGCACCCCATCCCTATCCCACTCTCTGGCTGTCCTGTCCCACACAATGAACCCCTCATTTTTGTCTCCTCCCCAGAGCCTAAGGGGAGGGGTCCACAAAATCCACTAACTCTGGAACCCCAGAAAAGTAAATCTGGCCTATGGGAAATCTTGAACCTCAGTCCTCCCGGTCCCCTCCCCTTGCCCCATGAGGCTGGAGCACCAGAGGAGTCAGGTGTCTCAGTTGGGGAGGGGGGGCATATCAGTGAGGGTTGGAGATCTTGGAGGCGTTTTTTTGCTTCTCACTTGTGTGGTCCCCAAGTGATTTTTCTTGGGTCAGTGGCCCTCAACCCAAAAAAGATTCTCTACCCCTACTATAAAGAGAGCATTGAAACCTTCTGTTGGGCATAAATTAATATTTTACTTTATTTAAAATGAGGATAAACTAACATGAGACAGTTAAAATGCTTAATCTGTTTAATAATTTAAATTAAACCATCCTCCCTAGCTGCAGCACTAGCAAAATGGCTCAGGCATAATTACATAATTAACCATGAGTTTCCATTAGCAACTCGTGGTTCACGGAAAGGTTTGCATTGAGCCAGGTGGGCCACGGGCTAAAAAGTTTGAGAACCGCTGCTCTAGAGCAGCATTTCTTAAAGTGGGCCCTGAGCGCACCTTCGCAAAGCGCAGCTCCCATTCACCATTTCTAGCCAATGGGAGCCGCGGGAAGTGTCAGCTGAAGCCTTTAGGTAAACAAAGCGGCACAGGCCCACAGCCCATTTTGAGAAACGCTGCTTTAGAAGGGGATGTCTACACTGCATTCCTCTTTCGAGAGAGGAATGCAAATGCAGCTGAGCGAAATTGCAAATGAAGCGCGGATTTGAATTTCCCATGCTTCATTTGCATAATCGCATCCGGGCGCTATTTCAAAATACCCTATTTCGAAAAAAGAAATGCAGTCTAGACACGGTTATTTTGAAAGAAAACCCTTCTTTCGAAATGACCCTTACTCCTTATAAAATGAGGTTTAAGGGTAATTTCAAAAGAAGGGTTCTTTCTAAATAACCGCATCTAGACTGCGTTTCTTTTTTCGAAATAGGGTATTTTGAAATAGCGCCCGGATGCGATTATGCAAATGAAGCATGGGAAATTCAAATCCGCGCTTCATTTGCAATTTCGCTCAGCTGCATTTGCATTCCTCTCTCGAAAGAGGAATGCAGTGTAGACATCCCCTTCTAAAGCAGCGTTTCTCAAAATGAGAGGGAGAGAGAGAGAGAGGAATGAAGTGTAGACATACCCGAAGTCATCTAGTCTAGTCCCCTTGTGTTCGAGCACCACTGCTACTCTATACCAAACTCCTGGCTGAATTCCAACTCTTGTCAGTCTGATACATCCCGTCTAACTCCTGCACTAGCCTATGACTTGAGACACCAGGTTCAATCCCTTACTCCACCACAGACTGTATGGTCTTGGGCAAGCGACTTAGATCTACATCTAAAACACAGGTCGACCTAGCTATGTTGCTTATACGCCCCTGAGAAATGCAGTGAAGCCGACCTAAGCCCCAGCTAGAGACCACTAGGTTAATGGAAGGACTTTTCCCTTGGCCTAGCTACTGCCTCTCAAGGGGATAGATTTAACTACAGCAGTGGAAGAACCCCTTCCATAAGACGTATCTATTCTTGGGCACTAGAGGGGTACAGCTGCAATGCTGGATCATCTGGGCTGTGTCTACATTGGTACCCTTTTCCAGAAAAGGGATGCTAATGAGACACTTCGGAATTGCAAATGCCGCAGGGGATTTAAATATCCCCCGCGGCATTTGCATGAACATGGCTGCCGCTTTTTTCCGGCTCGGAGTTTTGCCGGAGAAAAGCCCCAGTCTAGATGGGATCTTGCAGAAAATAAAGCCTTTTCCGCAAGATCCCTTATTCCTACTTTCAAGGGTGCCAATGTAGACACAGCCCTGTAATGCAGACAAGGCCTCAGCCTCTATGGGATCAGCCCCCCTTCACTCCCAGCAGTAAAACAGGGATTATAGTACCACCCTTCTATGTTGTGAGAATAAACACTTTAAAGACTGTGAAGCACTTAGATAATACTCTGTAAGAGACTGGCTTGGGAATGACAATTATACCAGAGAGGCTATTTTCCAGATCCTGCCCCAACATCATCCATGCCTAATTCTTGTTAACTTGTTAGTTTCACATTTCTGTCTACCCCCATTTTCATTCCAAGTTTTTCTTTTAATCTTTGTGAAAAGTAGGTAGAGGAGAAAACAGGCAGCAACCCCATAAAAAAAATTCCCTTCCTGTGCATTTCCCCAAACAATAGCAGGGTGAGTGGGGCAGCCGGGTTTGCTGAGGTTGGGGCCACACGTGGAGAGCAGCTGCCGGGACCAAGCACACTAGGAACTGAGGTAGGTTTCCACCTTTCTTGAGCTTACCAATGCAGTGAGTGGTAAAACCCAGAGAAAACATATTGAGGATTTCACTCCCAATGTCCATTTCTGCAATAGATGCAGCATCAAAATAGGCCGTTTGTAGGGTTGCCAGATGGTTTAACAAAATATACCTAACTCCCCCTCCCCTCCCCAAAAAAACACCGGGAAAACTTTCTGTTGAGAAAAAAAAAGGGGGAGACCAAAGTTGTTAAGCAAAAAAAAAAGCGCTGCACTTTTAAATGGCCCCGCACTCCTCACTCCCCCAGCCCTGCCCCCACCAGATGCAGCAAGGGAAAATTGTCCCCGCTGGGCTTCCATCCAAGGGAAACAGGAAATACCGGACATTTCACATGTCCAGTATTTTCTGTTTTTTTTACTGGACAGGGGACCCGAGTAACGGACAGTCCAGGCGAAAACCAGACACCTGGCAACCCTAGCCATGTAGACACGTCAGGATCGGAAGCCTGAGAACTCCATAGTTCTCCATTCGGGGAAAGAGAGCTTTTGACTTTGCATTCACAGTTGAATGAGGGGAGTCGTTAATTTTCCAGGCACTGAAGTCCAGGAATTTTCTAGATCATAATCACCAAATTCAGAGGCTACGTACCCTGCCAATCGTGGACTTATAGGTGATTAAAATTTGCTGCCGTTGAGATATACTCCTATTGGCCACAATATCAGTGATGGCATCTTCATCCGTACCTGGGGGAGACACAGGGAAGCCAGCCAGGCCGTTAGTGTCCTAAACAGTAATTGTGCAGCAGGCAATTCAGCTGACTTGCCTGGGTGCAACACAACCTGGTTTTATTCCTTCCAAAACCTGACTTTCTAGTGCAGTAGGTCGTGTGGGTTGGCTACCAGCTTGGTCCACACATCAGGGATTGAATGGGGGAACCTCCAAAGGGAAAAGCACAGGCTGCTACAGCGTTCTGTAGAGACACAAAATTTTGTGGGAGGCGTGGAGGGTGCCCGTAGCTGTCACTGGGTTACACACAGGCCCGCCAATGGGAGTGTGGGGCAAAAGGGCCCAGAGCGGCCAGCCACCACTGTTGCAACTGCAGGAGTGACAGCAGCCAGAACGCCAGGCCCTTTAAATCATTCCCAGAGCGCTGGAGAGCACATTCTGGGTGGCACTAAGGGCTGTCGGGGGAGGGAGGGCATGCTCTGGGCAGAGCTGAGTGCTGGGGGGGGGAGCTGAGGCCTGG